AATATATTATATATAAAAATTTGAAAATATAAATTTAAATAAAGAAATGTTTTCGTTTGTAAAGTGCTTTGACATGCTACATTTAAAAGTGCTACGTAAAATAAAAATAATGATGATGATGATTATTATTGTTGTTGTCGTTGTTGTTGTTGTTGTTATTATTATTATTATGATTATTATTATTACCATTACTATTACTATTATTATATTAAAATGTTCAAAATGTTTGGATGTTTGTATGGGTAAAAAAGAGATTGAAACAGGAAAGGCATTTTCGAATAATATTTGAATCAAGAAAGGCATTTTCTTGCCGTTCAGTGGTTCTCTGATAAATCTTTCAGATGACAATTAATTCACTGGCATTGAAGGCAGACAAATGATGGTATTCCAGGGTGGCAAATCACACAGAGGAAGAGGCTTCATTTTATTCAAGTAGTTCATTTGTGGCGCTTCTGAAACAAGCCTCTATAATGGCTAAAAACGCACATTCTCATTACGATGAAAGTGTCAAACTGCAGCCCTGCGGCCCTGTTCATTCTCGCATTACATTCAGAGGAGAATTAATTTAACACCCGACCCTGATGTTTGTCTGAAACACTAGCGGAGCTTTCTCTGGGAGAAAATCTCTGCCATTTTAGATTCAGACAGCAATAAAATCACAATCAAGTGGATTATAAATGGCCAAATGAACTTAAACCATTGCAAAAAACCAATTACAATTAGAATAAATTCTACTATCAGAATTATTATTAGCTTTTATTTTATTCCACTGAGATTTCTCATGAGTTACAATTCAATATTCACTGCATAAAAAGAATCAGAATCAGAAATGAGATCTTTCATATCTGTTATTTCATCTGGAGAGGCGTGAGCGTTTATCAAATTCATTTTACAGACTTATTTATATCAAGAAGAAACAATATGTGAAAGTATTATATTGAATGTAAAATATGAAATGTTTAAAATATATTAAATGTAAAAATGTTATATTAATTGTATATATAAAATATATTAAATGTAAAAATATTAAATATATTTAAAGTAAAATAAAATGTGAAAATGTTATATTAAATGAATGTAAAAATACGTTAAATGCAAAAAATATAACTTAAATATATGTTTAAAGTTGATTGGATGTCAAAAATATATATTTAATGTAAAAATATTAAATAAAATAAGTGTAAAAATCTTAAATTTATTTCAAATGTATTAAATGTAAAATACTGAATATATTTAGTGTAAAATATATAATATATTTCAACTATATTAAATGTGAAAATATTATATTTATTAAATGTAATACATGTAAAAATATGAACTATATTTCAGATATATTGGATGCGAATAAATGTTATCTAATGAAAAATTATAATAAATAAAAAATAATAAAAATAGTAAAAAATATCAAATATGTTTGAAATGTAATAAATGTCAAAATCTATTATTAAATAAAAATATTACATTTTTTATAATGTTTTATATATGAAAAATTTTATTGAAAAGAAAAATATGTTCAAATAAAATAAAAATATTATTAAAGTGAAAATAAATTCAAGGTGGAAATATTATATTTAGTTTAGAATATTTAATATATTTAATGTAAAAATATTATTATATAAAATATTAAATATTATATTAAATACATTCTGACTTAAATATTAAATATTATATAAAATATCAAATATTATATTAAATAAAAAATATTAAATATGTTAAATGTAAAAAACTGCTATATTTAACATATATTTAATGTACAAATATTATATTTAATTTAAAATATTAAATATATAAAATGTGAAAATATTAAATATGTTAAAAATATATTATATTTGAAAATATTATATAAAAAGTAAAAATACTAAATATATAAAGAGTAAAATGTAACATATTATTTAATATATAATTATAAAATATTTTCAATGTGAAAATATTATATTTAATTTAAAATATTGAATACATTAAATGTAAAACTATTAAATATGTTAAGAATATATTAAATTAAAAAATAGTATAGTAAAAATAAAAATACTAAATATATAAAGAGTAAAATATTTAGTATAATTAAAATATATTGAATTTGGAAATATGTTAAATGTGAAAATCAATGTTTGATTCAGACGGAAATAAAACCCCAAACTAGTGGGTTATAAGTGGTCAAATTACCTTAAACCATTGCAAAAAAACAACAACAAAATCACCATTAGCACAAAGTCTTCATTTAATTCCACTGAGATTTCTCGTTAGTATTCGCTTCATAAAAAAAGGAATAATCAGAAATGAGATCTCGTCAAACTCATTTTAAGACCTGAAGTTGGAGAAGAAACAGCTTTATAGTTCAAGGAAACGTTCACCGCTATGAACTCTATTAAATCTCCTGAGCCGTGAAAGACAATCTGTATGTTCTTCGTCTGATCTCTGACCTCTTTAAACTCGCTTTAGTCTCTAATATGCTTTTTTGTAGATGCATTTATAAATGAGGATAAAGGCTGTTGTTTGAAGAGCTGAGTTTAATCAGTTTCTCCAGCACTATTGTGGTAATGTTTAAAGGGATACAGCTATGGAGTCCCCATCAATATAGCTGTATCACTTTTAGCAACAAACCACTATTGTGAAGACAGAAGGATATGTTTCATCAGGACACACATACACACACACACACACACACACACATGCTTATTAAATCTGTGTTTGTGTGTTGGTTTAGGGTGCACTGATGCTGATCTGAGAAGTTTAGCCTCCAGACTCAAAGACTGGTTTGGGGTGTTACACACAGACGCAAACCGAGACCTGAAGACCAGCACCAGTGAAGCTGCACAAGGACGTGAGTGTGTGTTTATTAATCACACAAATGAGTTCACAGCCAATGCTTGTCTTTTCAATACAATTTATTAATATTGCTGCTGTATTATTTATTTGACCTATTAAAATAAGTTTATATGACACTCATTTTATTAGGATTTATTTTATTTTTATATATATTTATTTATTTTGCCTATCAAAACACAAAAAAATATAGCACAATGACAAAATAACACTCAGTTATACTGTCAGTTCTGTGTAAATCAGAAAAAAACATATTTTACATATTTTACAACAGAATATGTCCAGTATTATGTACAATTAAACACTCATTTAATAATTTTTATTATTATTTTTATTATTATTGTTGAATTTTTCTTCTTTTTGTTCTTTTTCTATGATTTACATGAGCTCCTAAGTCAGCATTTCTTTTATTATTCGTTTATTTTCTTTAACAAAATTATTTCACCTAGCAAAACCCAATAAATATAGCACAATTATTATTATTTTTATTATTTTATTATTATTATTTTCATTATTATTATGTTTTTATTATTATTATTATTATTATTATTATTATTAATAATAATAATAATAATAATTTTATTATTATTATTATTATCATTACTATTATTATTATTATTATTATTATTATTATTATCATTATTAGTATTATTATTATAATTATTATTATTATTACTTTTATTATGGTTATTATTATTATTATTATTATTACTTTTATTATGGTTATTATGATTATTATTTTTTAATTACTATTATCATTACTATTATTATTATCATTAGTAGTATAATTATAATTATTACTTTTATTATTGTTATTATTATTATTATTATTATTATTATTATTACTATTATTACTATTATCATTACTATTATTATTATCATTAGTAGTATCATTATAATTATTACTTTTATTATTATTATTATTATTATTATTATTATTATTATCATCATTAACAACATTGTTGTTTTTGTTCTTATTATTACTATTATTATTAATTACAAATTTTTATTAAAATTAAAAATAATCACTATTATTATTGTTTTTATTAGTAGTAGCAGTAGTCATAGTAGTAGTAGTAGTAGTAGTGAATAAGTTTACAAATAATAATATAAATTATAATTTGACTTAATTGGAATTAATAATATATTATACATTAAGAATTTTAAATAATTATTTTATTACATCATTATAATTAGGATAAATTATGTAATTATTTGTTATTTGTAATTGCATTGTTTTAAACTAATGTTAAAATGAAAGTGCTTTTAAATCTCTTTCTCTCCTTTAGGTTTCGACACAAGCATTTTACCCATCTGTAAAGATTCTCTCGGCTGGATGTTCAACAAGCTGGACATGAACTATGACCTCCTCCTCGACCAATCAGAGCTCAGTGCTATTTACCTGGACAAATACGAGCTGTGCATGAGGCCGCTGTTCAACTCCTGCGACTCCTTTAAAGATGGAAAACTGTCCAACAACGAGTGGTGCTACTGCTTCCAGAAACCCGATGGTGAGTTTGCAAAAAAGAGGTATAATAAATCACATAAGCTTATTGGGATGATCTTGTTTATCTCTGCTGTTAAATTAAATGAAACTGTATGTTTCTTCAGGCATGCCATGTCAGAACGAGATGAACAAGATTCACTCTCAGAGCCGAAGGAAGACTCTGTTAGGTAGGTGGATTTGATGGACAGGTGTTAACCCCGCTCCTGAGACCCTGTATACAGTTGAAGTCAGAACTATTAGCCCTCCTGTTCACTTTGAATTCTTTTATATTTATTTCCAAGAAGATTTCTGAACATCATAGTTTTACTAACTCATTTCTAATAACTGGTTTCTTTTATCTTTGCCATGATGACAGTACAGAATATTTGACTAGATTTTTTTTTGGGGTGCTTTCACACCTGTGAATCGATTCAGTTGTTCTGAAACAGAGATTACAATTGTTAAATTGTTGCTGTTTGCTCTTGGAGCGGTTCGCTTTACCAATCCAAAGTTTCTAATCGGACTAAAAGAGCTAAAACAAGTCACGTGCGAGTAAACTCTACTCACATTGGTCAGAGTATCAGGGTTATTTTGCAGCGTCCCGCTCAGCTGTCAGGAGAGGTGGTGGTTTGGTGGTGATTGACAGGGTGCACGCGCGACGTGTCTGAGGAGAGATGCGGTGGGGGGGGTGAGAAGGGTGCGCGACGGTGCCTATTTGTGGACCGGGAGGGAGATGCGAGATTACCGGGAGATCATCAATCGTTTGCGGGCATCCGGAGACTCGCGAAACTTCCCGCCCTACTCATAATTCTCTCTTCATATAGCCGTATGCCTATTACATATCCATAAAACACAGTGATATAACCGCGCTCGGATCGGATCGCTTTCTCACTGCAATCAAACCGCTCCAGAGTTCGTTTTAATCGAGCCGAGACCACCTCATTCAAGCGATCTCGGAGCGATTACTTTGGCGCGGAACAGAGCGCAATTGCCCTGTTCATATATGCCAAACGAACCGCGCTAACTGGGCAAACGAGACACGTTCCGAAACAAAAGTGTAGGTGTGAAAGCACCCTAAGATACTAGTATTCAGCTTAAACTGGCTCATTGGTTTGTCCTGCACTTGTAACACGAATATTGCTTAAGGGGGCTAATAATATTGACTTTAAAATGTCTTTTAAAATTCCAAACTGCTTTCTTTCCAGCCGAAATTAAACAAATAAGACTTTCTCCAGAAGAAAAAAATATTATAGGAAACTGTGAAAAATTCCTGAATCTGTTAAACATCATTAGGGAAATATTTGAAGAAGAAATAGAAAATTCACAGGATTTTGTTCTCTGGAAGCGCCTGAGCAGGCTTTTTCCGTGCATATAGCACATGTACAGTATGTTTATAAAGTTTCTTGTGGTCACAAAGGTTTGGTTAATGAGAAAGAAGTGGTTTAATCTCAGCTGGCCATTTATGTTTGATTGTTGTTGATCTATAATGTTGTTTCTGTGTATGTGTGTGTGTGTGTGTGTGTGTGTGTGTGTGTGTGTGTGTGTGTGTGTGTGTGTGTGTGTGTGTGTGTGTGTGTGTGTGTGTGTGTGTGTGTGTGTGTATCTGTCTGCAGGAGTGTATGTGCCGCGCTGCACTGAGGACGGTTATTTTAAGGCCACTCAGTGTCATGGCAGCACCGGTCAGTGCTGGTGTGTGGACAAATACGGCAATGAGCTCGCAGGATCCCGCAGACAGGGCAACCCTACCTGTGGTAAAATTTCAAACACACATTGCACACACACACATCATTAACCCAACCCTCAAAGTAAACCATCTGAATTTTTACTTCTTTAAATTACTTTATTCTGTTCAATTTCTAATCATGTTTGCACATGGGGACATATATATTTTTGTCCCCCAAAGTCCAGAGAAGGGCCAGACAGAATCTGCAGACATTTTTATCGATTTCTGTGCATAATTTTGTGAAAAATCTGCGGATTTATGCAGGATGATTTTGGAAATATCGTAACTAAAAACTTAATCTATTAAATATAAAAATAATCGCTGTTTTACTTTTATTTTAATGTTTACAATGCAAATCCAATTAGATCAATTTGTTCAACCCAAGCTCATTCTGGAAACGTAGCCTCGCGGACGTTTCTGGAGTCCATGATTTACGTGGCCGGAGGTACGTATGGACGCATTTTGTTTTTTATTGAGCGAACGCTACGGGGCGGTGTGATACTGCTCCTCCTCTTCGCGCTCGCCGGCTCACCTCCGTGTGGAGGGCTTTCCTACAGTAAACAGTTTGTTCGCTTAACTCGCAGTGTTAAGTCGGCGGAGCGGAGGCCCGGAGGAGGAGGAGCCGGCCACGGTGAAAACGGGATCGAGTCCAGGGAAGAGAGGTTCCAGAAATCAGGTAAGATGAAAAACAGAATCCAAAAAATAAAAGCGAATGAGTTTGCGACGGGGCGAGATCCGAAAATGCGGTCAAAATCGGACGAGGGCTTTTGCTTTTTTTTCTGGACGGCTTTTGCAAATCGTCGCTTGGGTTTAGGGGAGGAGGGTGGCTGGGTCGGCCGATTGGCCGGCCGCCCATTCGATCATTCAGTCATTCAGCCAGTCAGTCGGACGAACGGTCGCTCTACAGTGGCCTCCGGCGGCTTTCACGTGAAAACATCGTGGGCGCGAACGGCGTGCGCTCCCGAGAGACATTCGGGATGCAAAAAAGCACGCACAGCGGCCTCTCGCAGATTAGCGTAAACAAAAACTGCTCAAATACATACCTCCCGTGACGTATTTCGCGGTCTCCAGAAACGTCTGCGGGGCTACGTTTCCACAATGAGCCCGGGTTGAATTTATTTGGCAAACAAAGCAAATCTCTCATTTAATATATCTACTAAAAGACAAAAAATATGACTTTACAAACTGTAATGTAAATAAAACCATATGAATATTTTCACATTATACATATATATATATTTATATATATATATATATATATATATATATATATATATATATATATATATATGTTATAGCTGGGTAAAGATTAATCACTTCTAAAATAATAGTTTGTTTGATGTAATATAATTTAATTATATTTAGCTATAAAACATCCATGTTTATAATAGAACACACATTTAACATACATTTAAATATCTGGGCAAAAAAAAGTTTAGTATAGTTTAGTTTTTAGGTATTATGTATTTATGTATTACAGTTAGATAATATATTAGTACTATTACTATCCTATACTATTTTTAAGTTTGTTAGCTGTGTGCGTGTCTGTGTGTGTGTGTGCAGTCCTGACATCTGACGCTCCATTATTCAACAGCGTTTCCTGAGTTCTCTGTCAAAATGTATAAAATATCCTCTTTTATATATAATGAATGATCTTCCCCAGAACACACACCTTCTATTTCATCTCCCCGTGTGTGTGTGTGTGTGTGTGTGTAGAGGAGGATCAGGAGACATCTGGAGATTTCGGCAGCGGCGGCGGCGCAGTCATTCTACTTGACGACCAAGAGGAAGAAGAGTCTGCACAGAGTGGGCGTAGCCGACAGAAAGAGAGGCGGGGTCGACTCCACCCCCGCGGGGCCATCGAAGACGACGAAGACGGAGAGGACGACGAGTTTGGCTACGTCTGGTAGCTCCGCCCACCCATCTTCCGCTAATTAACCAGGGACCCATGTTAAAAAATGCACAGTTCTGAAGCCATTCCAGCTCCGCCCCCTTGGACACACACACACACACGCCCCCTTTTTCCAGCCCCGCCCTCATTGTAGATCTGAACTCATTCATTCTCTCTGTCTTTCTTAAGCCTCCTCCTCATGTTCTGTCCTCTGTTTTTTTAAAACTCCCGCTCGCTCTTGTGTTGTAGACGCCTCTCGGGGGCTCTAGATGGTAGACGTGCATGACAAGATCGTTCAGGCTCCTCAACACTTCTACATAAGATCTTTTTAAACAGGGGTTAGGTCTCAGTGGCAGTATGCATGAACGCCACTGCAGAAGATGACGTCTGAGATCTTCAAGGGTGAGGATCAGGTGGGCTTAAAGTCAAACGCGCACTACACGACTGAAGCTCATCAATGATTCATGTCATAAATCTGCCACTGGAGGATGGAGATCGAAGGGAAATCACAGCGCATATGTTCTGTTTGCTGCGAGGCACGTTGTTAATATTTACAGATGCTACGATAATGCTAGATTTAATCGCATCGGAAAACGGCAACGGCAAGAAAGAATGCAGATTTTCAAATTAGTTTTATTTTTTTCTTGGTTCCTTCAATTGTTTAAATGACCTTCCTGTGGTTTTTGTCTCTTGTTGATGTATGTAATCCTGTTATTGAAACATGGGGAATGTGAGCAGTTGAATATAGTGCACAACACAAGAAACTGCAGTGTGTACGTCTGTAAAGTGTGATGAGCTTCAGTCGGGTTGTGTATGATTGACCTGCTACTGTTTTCACATCTGTTTACTATTACTGCAACTGTAAATTCTGCTTTGTTTTCTATCGAGCTTATTCTGCGATACGGATGAGCATTGTTGTTTTAAACACCGACCTAATTTCGCCAAGTAGGACATGTTCCTTGATTAGCATCTTTGTTGATCCTGGAACAACATTTCAATCAACCTATTAGAATTAAGGGATAGGGTCGTTTGTTATCCAACTATTATTCCCCTCTGATTTTGTGAATAATTAACAGTTATGGTTGCGTTTAGGGGTCGTGAAATATATATTCAAAAAGGCGGCAACACCAAAGCTCCAAAAATACCAATTTATTTAATACAAAGGATGATACCATAGATATATACACTAGATATCGCATAAGGACCCTGAACATGCGTCAATAGCGCCGCCACATTGGTACAGGGCTCCCAGGACAAATGTCATTCAACCGCACTAATCAGAACAGTGTTATTACGTGAAGATGCGGGACTTTAGCGCTGTCTACGGGTGTAGTAACGAGCAAACAAAGAAAACAAAGCACAAAGGCAGAACATTTCATAGGTAAGATTAAGTTTTTTTTTCTGTTTTTGTATGTTCTGAACTTTTGTGCTAATCAGGTAACGTTATTGATAATACAGTCACTTACTGCATTCACCATACGGCAAAGCAGCTCCAACTCGCACTAAACACTCAGCTTATGATAGTTTTGTTGAATAAAATCAGCAAACAATGCAAAAGAGATATGACAACGAGATGCTGCGCTGCCAGAAACTTGTATTATTGTCGGCTAACGTTAGTGAAAGAGTCGTTCGGGGGATTCATTCACAAACGAATCGCTCCCTCCGTCAGTATGAGATCTGAAAGCAGGAGAGGAGCTGTGTTTCAGGACACAGATTATATTAAATTTAACAGGGAGGGTGAATAGTACATTTCTGTACACACAAACACAAGCTTTTTGTCAGGAATGCCCGTGCGGTCATTGATCCATCAATGTAGAAAAGTGATGTAAAATTATAATTTTCGCAATTAGAAAGAAAATTACATACTAACATCCAGGAAAACTCCCGATCATAGATATATGTGTATATCTCTGGCTTTGGATGGCCACAGTCCTCCACTGTACCTTGGTCCCGCATTCTTTTCAAAGGAGCGCTACCCTGTAGTAAGATGGCGGCGCTATTGACGCATTCCGTCCAATAGACAACAATAGGCCAGGCGACATCTAGTGTACATATCTATGGGCTGATACAAGGCGTCTAACGTTTCGAGCACACGGCTCTTCATCAGTGTTCATCACAGTATGTTGCTCCTTTTTGTACACTTCCAGATCAAATGATCTCGCATATTTTTTCCCACCAAGAAAAATAGAAAGAACACCCATTTATAAATTGTACAACTTAAATATTCAAAGCGAAAATACAGAAACAAACCATAATGTTCTTACACCATACCATAATATTAACAGTGTCTTCTTTTGTGCTCAACAGAAAAAAGTAACTCGTAAATGTTTGGAACCACCTGACGGTGACTAAATAGTGTGTAAATGTTCATTTTTAGGTGAACGATCCCTTTAAGAGTCGCCTGGAGCAGTTGCTTTGTTCTTCGGTATTCATCAAAAGAATACGGAAATGAGTTTGTGTTTAATTTCCAAGTTTGTGTTTTAAAGTCCAAGCATGTTTGCAGGATCCAGTAACTGCAGTAATTCTGACAGCATGTGAACGCGTCGGCTGTGAGCCTGATATCATCATTTGTTTGTTGTCTTGAGCTGATGATTTCGTTTCAAAGCATCACATTCTGTTTTAGTTCTGTCTGGCGTTTGGAGTGTTTAAGTGGACCGTGACCTTTTGCGTCGACTCTTTTTGCAGTTTGTTCAGTGAGTTTGGGGCTTGACAGAATTCAGAAGCGATCAAACGACTCGTCGGCCTGACCTTTTCAAAGCATTACCGAACGCTTCCTCTCGCAGAAAAACAGAAGGCGAATGGAAAAAGCTGTCGGCGTGAAGCTCCGCGAGATGGATTTCGGGTGTTTGTTAGTACAGCCGCTTTCCAGTTGTGAAAATGGCTCTGGGCCCTGGAGTCACGTCTGCCTCCAATAATTTATCCCGTTCTGCATTCCTCATTTGATCGAATTCGAAATAGTTTGATCTGACCCAATCTGTCAAGCTTAAACAGTTTTAGAAGCACACATGAGGTTTGTACGGCTGGTGGAAACTGAGTCATGCTCCTTTTTGGCAGGTTTAACAACCTCCGCTTGCTTTCACATTTGCTGTTATCTACAAAATAAAAGCTTATTTATTTCTGTCATGGAATCAAAACGAGAAAAAAAAGTAAATGCTGCTTTTTATCTCACAACTTTTGCAAATCAGTTCTGATTTTTAATATGCAAACTTGATCCTGAGGAGAAAATAAATATTCAGAACTGTGATATGTGGAATTTTAAGGTGGAAAAAAGTCTGAGTTCACAGGAAAAAAGCAATTGTGAGATTAAAAAGAAGTTTATTATGATGAGTTTTAATTATAAGGTAACACTTTAGAATAACGGTTCATTTGTTAATGTATTTACTAACATTAACTCAGTATGATTATTATTTTTTTTTTTTTACATTAAGGTGTTTTTTGACCTGCACCCATATCAGCCTGTTGTTGGAGACCCCCCAAAACCAAAATATGATCTTTTTAAATGCATAATAGGGGCTCTTTAAGTAATTTAAGTATTACATTTCAAAGTAGTGCTTGTCAATATTAATATTAATATAATTTATGCATCATGAGTTAACATGAACTAACATTACTTCACTTAAATAACATTAATAAACATGAATAAATACAGTAATATTGCTTTACTAATAGTTTGATCATGTCAGTAAATACAAAATCTTTATTGCAAACTGTTATCAAAATTTCCTTTTATTCGTAATTATTTATTCTGTGGCAGAAACAATCCTCCATTCAGCTTTTGCTTTGCATACATTTTTTTTTTATCTCTCCGCTTGCGCTCAGCATTGCTCTCAATCCCACGATCCACCACTCGGCTCCTATAGAGAATGAACTGGAGTGGGATGATCCGCAAACAGCGCAGAAGAGTTTAGTGCCGATATCAGATCACAGCAGCTTAGTTCGGTTCCTGTACACACAAACACACACAGTCTTTCCTCACTCGTGTAAGTGTGAGGGTTCTTTGAGGCATGAGCTTTATTCAGTGATCGTAAACGCCGCCCCAGATGGATTATAGGAAGCGTTTCACACCCAGAGGGGAGGTTTCTGGGCGCTCCTGAGGGATTGTGGGTAACAGAGGAACGAACTGATGAGCTTATGGCTTCCTAACACCTTTTATTCTCCTCTTTTCTCCTGATTTCCGCTCTGCACCTTTTGGTTCCCCATGGAAATTATCGGTTATCTTGGAGTAGGATCACATTTAATAGATCGGGAATAAATAATCAGAATCATTCCAAACCTGTATGATTAGTTTTCTTTCTGTTAAAAATGCTTTAAAGAACTTTTACAAATGACAAAAACACCACTTTATAGTTCTATTGAGACTTTTAGTTGTGCAAATGGTTCTTTATAGTGGACAATGTTCTTTAGATTTGGATTCTTTACAATACAGAACATGTGGTTAATGAATTTACTAACACGAACAAGCAATGCACATCATTTATTACATTATTTATTCGTCTTTGTTAAAGTTAGTTAATTACATTACAGTACATTACAGTAATAAACAGTACATTACAGTACATTAACTAATGTTATTACACCATCTGGTATACTTCACTTCTAATTGGTCATTTCAGCGACATTTCAGTGTATGTTATTCCCATTTGACAGCTCCTAAATAACACAGGCTCATCTGGGAATTTGGAATAATCTTGACCTGCAGCGAAAACCTTTAAATCCATATACTTACATCCTCATTTGTATGTATCTGCTTGTCTGTAACACTGCTGATTTGGACTGTTTAGTGCCATCTTGTAACTGAATAATATGTAGGTCAGTCTATGCTCAATCAATGACTATAGAATACACAAGATGTGTCACTCATATAGTTTTGAATGGGGAAAAGTGAATAAATCATCTATATGGCGACTGAAGCCCTGCCTTCTAGTACTGGAGCCCAGTGTTGTCAACTTCGTTGCTATATTTAGCGACTTTTCAGACCCCCCTTAGCGGCACTTATTTTAAAAATCGACTAGCAACTTTTTTTTTTTGGAGATTGTTATAGACTCTCATGTGTCCATACACCGTTCCTACTCTACACAATGAGCTGCGGGTGATGGCTTCGGCCCCTCCCCCACCTCACAGTCCTCGTACAGCAGCCCAGTCCTCCTACAGTATACACTTCCACCTCCAGCCTGAGGGCAGATCTCTGCGTATCAACAGCAAATGATTTAGCACCACGAGTGTGAGGTATTTCCCTTGTACAGTCGAACCGATCTGCTTCTCCTCTGTTTTCAATTTAACAAATTAATTTCACCATTATTATTTTCTTGTTCACAACCACAGATATTTCAGTGACAGTTTTGGAACTTGTCTGAGTTTATTACATCTGAGAGATTCGGTACACATCTATACCGATATACTGTATTCAAACAGCAATACATTTAGTTCGATTGACAAGCGTAGTGCAAATATAAATACCCCTTTATTGACCAGGGGCTGTTAAACAAACAGAAACGCTTACACATGATGACGTCAGTAATATGCAAATTGACGCATGACTTAATCTAGCGACATTTATTGACTTTTTAGGCAGAACTTAGCGCCTTTCCATTGAAAATAGTTGGCAACACTGCAAAGCCAATCATCAGTCACTATAGACTGAGGACTCTCTGGGTGAGAGGCTGGGACCAGATGTGAGTTTCTGCAGATTTTGTATAATTTGAACGAAATAAAACTAAAAAGACAGTCGTTGTTTAATGTTATTGGTGATTCCTAAAATGAAATTTGACTGTAAACTTGGCAAGCAATTTAGGAAAATTTGATGTTTCCCCATTCAAATGGAATGCCCAAGCATACTGAATGAGAGGCATTTCAAAGATAAATAAATAAAATATAATATTCCCTCAGTACAATATAATTTAGCAAAGTAGCCATGTAATAAGCAGGATAAAGTACATCCAGGTGGTTGTTTTGGCATAATAAAGCCCTTCAGTCTTACACAACCCCACATTAAGAAATGCAACTCAAATTTATATACTTATATCCTCATTCTTGTCTATCATGCTATTGTTTGGCGCCATTTTGTGAATGAATAATATGTAGGTCAGTCTATGCTCTGTTTAGCCTCTTCATTTCTGTCAGCTTTGTATTTTTGACAACATCTTGTGACTGACTAATACACAGGTTAGTGCAATGTTCGATAAACACCATCAGC